AATTATGGGTTTTGTATTTTATTTTAATAGAAGTTGATGTTGCTTTTGCAATTATCCAACAATTTTTTAAAATTAAACACTATCTACAGATTTGCATCGAAGCGTTTCTTATGATAGTGATTTTAATCACTGTCAGATTAAATCTAGACTGAACCCAACTATGCAATGTCTCCACTATGCCGCGACCCCACTGTGCTACCGTTTTTTTTTTAGATATAATTAATAAAAATTTAATTGTTTAACATTAATTTTTTAAATGGTATATATATTATCGACCATACTATGTCACTGAAACATTTTGAAGGTTCTCGCTAGTAACGGATGGTCCATGTTTTAGACTGTCACAATTTTTTTACATGAATGAAATTTTTTTACCTATGATGCAAAGCTGAGAATGTATTAATTTTACTATGTGTTTTTTTTTAGTGTCTGTTGCCACTTTTTCTTAGTTCTCACTGGACCGATTTCTTTCAATGATACGTCAAAAGATCAAAAATCGTATCTAGTTGAAGACATTACCCTCGAAAATTGAAAAAATTTCTCTTGTTTCATGTAAATAGTATTAATCCCCCCCTAAAAATTACGATTTTTATAATCTGTAAATTTTGATATTTTTTTCACTTTTTTTTCTTAAAACTGTTATAACTTTTTGAAAAATGAACAAATAAACATAACTTTTTTTTTATATATTGAAAACTTAAGTAATTCCCTTTTATTTTATATAATACTTTTGAAAATCTGACCCTTTACCTGCCCACAAAAGGGGATTCAAAATAGAAAAATTCAACTTTTTCAAATTAAGTTTTAAAAAAGTTACGGAAATACTACGTCCTTTAAATATATGTCAAATAAAATTGTTTTACGTAATTAAAAAAAAAACCAGCACAGTGGGGTCGTGGTTTAATGGGGAAGTGGCATAGTTAAGTCAAGTATAATGATATTTGACAGTGATTAAAATCACTATCATAAAAAACGCTTCGATGCAAATCTGTAGATAGTGTTTTATTTTAAAAAATTAGTGGATTACTCCAAAAGAAACATAATTTCCTTATTTATATCCTGATTACATGTGTTATGATTTATAAGTGTAATATACGAATTAATATATAAAAGGAAATGGTGTTATTTAAAAACAAAATATGTCAAATGAAAAAAGTATATAAATATTATTTCTCATAAAAAAATAGTATTGATCCATACATTTTTCAAATGTAATAGTAAATGTTATAGCATTTTAAAGTTAAAAATATAAAATCGAGAATTTTAACACAAAATATTCTATATACAAAATAGCATACGGTAGCCTTTTTTACCGTGAAGACAAAATAAAGTCTGTAATTTTTTTTTTCGTTATATAATATATTACATAAACTTTAATTTATGATATATATAAAAGTGTCAGTATTTCGGGAACACTTAAAAAAATTGAGTTGAACAAGTTGTCATTTTTAATTCCCTCCTAAAGGCAGGTAGAGGGTCAAATTAAAAAAAAACGGTAGCACAGTGGGGTCGAGGCACAGTGTGGACGAGGCATAGATGGGACAAGTATAGATGATATCTGACAGTGATTAAAATCACTATCATAAGAAACGCTTCGATGCAAATCTGTAGATAGTGTTTCCTTTAGAGAAATTGGTGAAATATTTTAAAAGCAACATGAACTCTTATTTCTTTAATTATATCCTGATTAGTAGTTCTTTGATTTTAAAATATAATATATGAATAAATACTAATTATAGTTTTTAAATTTAGTATGAAATTGTGAGGCCAGCTATGATGTATGGTTCATAGTGTTGGGCGGTTGATAAGAAAGTAGAGCAGAGAATAAGTGTAGCAGAGTTGAGAATGCTTAGTT